GGGAAGGGGGTTCCATTAGCTATCTGCAGCAACACAACTTCAGACACTGAGGCTTCCTGGGGAAAACATCTTTCAGGTGTACCTTGGTGGCTTCAGCAGTGCTGTGAGCTCACTTGCCACAGCTAAGCATCGGGTACTTCACTGAGCGAGATCTTACATGCATTTGGCCCTGAAAGCCTGTGAGGATTCACCTCCTCAGGGAGACCAGACCCATAAAAGTAGATGGAAGAGAACTCTAGTGAGTGCTGCTGCTGCCAGTACCACTGTCAAAGGATGCAGCAGGGGTCAGCAGTTGCACTGTTCATTCTTACACTGATAAAGCAAATGCCCATACAGTGCTTAGGTCTCTGATTGGGTCTGCAATTAGCATCATGATTAGCACAGAATGGCAACACTAATGACTGCCTGGAGGCTACAGGCTCTGGCACTGCCTCAGATCCCTGGAGCCCTGATACAAGCTCCATTGTTAACTGAGCCAAGGGAAAATAGGAAGAGTCAAGAAGATGAGTAAATCTCAAGGGGAACATCCTTAGTATATTCTCTATTTTCCACTGAGTTACAGTTTTCTGAATTCCCTCCAATCTCCCTCCCACCATGCCTGACCTTTAGGGAAGGCACAGACCAGACATATGTGAATGGCCATGGCCAACTGCTGGGTCTGCTGACACTGCCTGGTGTTCAGTCCTGACAGCCACACAGAACTTGGGCTGTGCCTGTCACTACAGTCAGAGTGGCTTCTGATGAGACCTTTCCTGCTCCTCACCTGCTTCTGTAACTCGGCCAACCGACGACTGCAGTAACTGTGAGACTCTTCCTGTGAAGAAAACACAAGGATTTAGTTTTAGTCTCCAGTTTGGTCAGGGCCAGGGTCTATATTTGACTTCTGTTAGGTCTATACTGCGGCCCATTGGGATTTGCCATCGTTCATCTAAGTGGCCAGAGCCTCCTCCCACCAGGTAAGATTCTGTTCTCACCTGCCTAGAAGCAGGTATCTTGTGCTGGTCAGACTCAGAGAGAGAAAATCCACCTGCATCTGGCAGTGACCTGCAGTATCTCTTCAGCCTCCTCCGTTCACGCTCCACCTGCACGTTGGATAGGAGACAGGGTCACAGAAACCTGCCACCAAACAAGGAGCAAAAGGACCCTGGACATCATGATAAGATCTCTGCTCAGAAACAGTTAATTGCAGGAAAGAACACTGGGGGCAAAAAGCAATTGATGTAGATTATGGAAGAGAAAGAGCAAGAGGTTCCTGACAGAGTCAAATGTGCCTGTATGGGGACACTGGGCAAGTGGGAACATACCTTTGTGAAGGGACTGGGGAGAGAAAATACAAAGTGGGTGTTCACAGGGGGATGCAGGAGAGGGAAGGAGACAAGCAGAGGATTCCAAAGGGCTGTCTGTGGAAACATCTTGTGTTCCAGAGGACCACAAGGCTTTGCAGAGGCACTGAAAGCCTGTTTTACCTGCTCAAGTGTCCTCCTGAGCTCCACATTCTGTTGCTTCAGCTCAGCCTTCTCAAGTTCCAGCCTTGCAACTGCTCTCAGCAGACAATCCAACTGCTGTGACAGGGCTTTCTTCTCAGAGAGCCATGATAGCTGCTCCCCTTCTGCAGCAGCCTGCTGGGTGTGCAGAGAGGAGACTGTGTGAGCTGGTGGTGCCACCGAAAGGTCAGGAGGGCCAGAATCAACACATCAGGGAGTTACTGGACTCAGGAATGGACAGTGCTAAGTCCCATCCTCTCCTCCTGGTCCACAGGCCAAAATAGCACCATGTTTTCCTCCAGATCACCTTGGAGAACTGGAGTTGTTTGTTCTGAACATTCTCTCTCCTAGTTTTGTTCAGTGTTTCCCAGTCTGGTTATGAGAGAGGCTGGAAACATTAAGTTCCTATTCAATCACTTAATTGTTTTACAAAGGTCTGCAGTATTTCCAGCTCCCTCTCAGCCATTTCTTGTCCATCAGGAAGACTTCCACATGGACAAGTTCCTCTTAGGGAAGTCATTTAACATCATTGGTCCTCCTCTTTGACCTTCACTGGGTATTCTCCTATCTCTAGTTCCACTCCTTGTCCTTGGACAACCACACAATATGCAAGATGTGGGTGAAGCATGTCTGAAGTGAGAAAATACAACAGCTTTGCTTCTTTTCTCCCTTTACCTGTTACCTCATCATTACAAATTACATAACTGTTCTTTGAAAAAAAAATAATCAAATTCTCAACCAAGGCCTGTGCATTGCTCTGAATCTAGTCAAGAGCCACCCCCCTCTCATGGGCTTCTTGGTGAACTGCTCCTTGAAGCCACCTCTGACAGCATCTCTAACTGTACTCTTGATACTGTACTGATCCAAAGGGATGCAACTACATTTCCTGCCCTAGTGCTGCTGCATGCCTGATCCATATGGATGTACCTGCAATCTCCCAGTGTGTTCAGGATTCCTGCCTTTGTCACTTCTCTGCTTCCCACCAACAATGCCTGTCATCATCCTGGGCAGGCTGGCAGAAACATTTCCCAAGTCATGTATAAATGCACGATCCATAAACACAGTGTTTTAACTGCCTGTGTCCCAAGGGAATGCTGAGGCCCTGGCAGAGGCCCAGGCAGGTCTGCAGCACTGGCTGGTGCAGCTGCTCCACTGGCAATGCTGAGTCCCATCACCTTGGAGAAATCCACACGAATTGGCCTTCCTGCCTTCTGGGCTGCAGCACAAGCACATCCTGAAGGGGCAGTGAAGCTGTAACTTGGGTCAGGCAGTGGCACAAATTCCATCCTTTTTAATACATGGGAAAAACTGCAGCTCAGAAACCTACGTCCCTGGCAGCATCCCCCAAGCACCTTCGGGTCACAGCTCCTCAGGCATTGTCAGAAAACTCTACTGTTTCCTACATGAGTCTGGCCACCTGTGCCCTTTCCCTGCCCAATCCTAACCTGACACATGGGCTAAGCTTGCCTGGACAGGAAGGAACCAATTCCCCATCCCCAGCTTTGAGACCTGATTTCATTCCAAGGACAAGCTCTGCAGCTCCTTCAGGAGCCCAGGGCTTGACAGAAACCATCTTGGCAGGGGAACAGTCTCTGGCTGCAGCTGGACAGACAGGCAGGGCTGCTGACTGCAGGCAGGGCTGCTTTGGCCAAGCAGGTCACAGACTGCTGGGAACAGGTGTTCCCAGATCTTGATGGGAAACCCCTTTAGAATCCTGTACAGACAGCTGAGCTGGCTGATGGTCCATCACAGGGCCTACCTGCTGCTG